ATTCCCGCCGATAGAAGGGGTGATTATCACTTATCAAAGGGCCTAACGATGTAGGATCTTGTGGGTGGAGCACGTTTCCTAGGGAATCTACAGTTCATGTCTTGCTTTACCTGGTTTGGACTCCACTGTGCAAAACCCGCACTTCTATTCCATAACAGCATGGCAAGTTTGGTTGAGGCCATATCAAGTTATGTGAAAATACCTACTACTCATTGCTGCGTATCCCCTTGGTCTTTGTAAGACTATGTTGCATATGTGTGATGAATTGCTGTTTAGGTGGTCACTCGTTGGTACCGTGCCCCAGAGCTGATTTGGGGAGCACGAGCATATGGAACTGGTGTGGACATGTGGGCGATGGGCTGTATTATTGCCGAGTTGCTTCTCAGGGTAAACTTTTTTTCTTCTTCTAGTTTGAAGGCGACCCCCGCGATGAGTTGAGCTGGATCATTCCATGACTAGGATAGAGCTGTCCGCTAAGGTCGCAGATGTGCTGTTCTCCTGACTTGAAAGTGCAGAACAAGGGCACCAGACTCTTCGAAGACCGCTTCAAGTGCTTCCATTTTCCCCATTTACAACATGAGGTTGTCTTCGTCTCTCAGTCGTTACGCTTCCTCATCTATTCACCTATTCTCTTCTCAGCGCTTGTGGTCCATTTTTTTAGCCCAATTCTAACGTTTTCGACTGATTCTTTTCTGTTTTTCTCCATTACCGATCCATTTCTCACCACAGCTTTCATTATCCTGTACAAGAATCGCACCAGCTTGGTCGTGGGTTTTAAGAGTTCCCAAGGTGGGGACGGCTTCACCTCAAGGAGAGGTTTATATGTGGCGTTTTTGGGGCACTCTCATTGCGTAATCGCTACAGATCGCCTCTTGATGTGGCTACAGATCCACCATTCACGCCCCACTAATTGTGATTGTAGTTCGAGCCTTGCTCAGGTGCCTCAAGCAGTCTCCAGTTCTTAAACCCTTCAGAGAATTTCACGTTCTCCTTTCAGGTGCCGCTGTTCCCGGGTGAATCCGATTTGGATCAATTGGTAAAGATCACCCACGTGCTGGGGTCGCCGACTGTGGAAGATTGGCCAGCCATGAAGAATCTCTCGGACTATATCGCAGTGAAGTCTGTGCAGTGCTTCCATGAGCTCAGCGTTCTTGATGCTATTATTTGTAGGGAGAAGGTCGGGATCAATCTTCGCCATGTGTTCACAGCCGCCGGTGAAGACCTCATCGACTTGCTGCTCGGCTGCTTCGCCTACGATCCGTTGAAACGTCTCACTGCCTCCGAAGCACTTCAGTGCCCGTACTTCAGGTCAGCCTGAGTTTTTCACGTGCTAACAACGTTTCAAGAATCCACAGAGAATGGAGGACTATTTTC